TCTGAACTACAGTGTAGGTACAAACATTCACGAGCCAACGCCATTCATTGGCAACAGTACAAACTTCGTGATGGTTTTGGGGTTACCAGTACAGGGTTACGGGTTAAAAAGTGTGGATTTTGCAATGATTACTAGTACCACTATAGACTACAAATTGTATGAATGTTTGTACCTACACTGTAGTTCAGAGGTGTAAAAGTAAAATAACTGTAAGGTAAATGATCGAATTCTCGGACACGATTTGCTAACAACATGTTTTTCGACTTTGATTGGACGTAAATCAGTAACTAAACATCATCTCAAAAATCTGAAAGTACCACTCGAAAATACAATTCCTGGAGTTTGTTTTACTGCCTCATAGATACTCAATCAATGATAATTGCGATTTGTACTAAAATAAATACATGGAGTAAAATTAGTGATGACAATTTCGATGCACCTTAATTCTCGGACATAGAATTACCTTACATTTTGTATTGAAGTAAAATAATTTACAAAATATACGCCCCAAATACAATGCACGTATTATAATACCGATGGTGGACAAAAGTCATTATATTACACAAAATTATATTAATTGCATAAAAAAATTACTTCTTCTGCTTGACTGGACGGACTGCAAATACATGAAGTTCTTCCCGAGTGTACCATTCCAGGTTAGTGGACACACGCTTCCGCTCTTTAATTCCCTTCTTCTGCGGGGGTAAGGTCAATACTTCCTCTCTCACGTGCTCCTTCGTCTTCAACCATGCTGCAGAGGCACTTCCCATGTATTTTTATTGTTTGTGGCAATACTATTGGAGTTAAAAGTGGTGAAGTCAAGAAGAAGTGGTGAATATTATCATATCCAATAGAATTGGTTCACACAAAAATTGAGCCTACTGATTGGTCAAAACTCCAATGTCCGAGAATTCGATCATGTCCGAGAATTCGATCATTTACCTTACTACTGACAGGAGGGTGTACAGAACTGCAACGGTAACACTGTAGGTACTGGATATGAGTACACTAAAAGACCCATGGGACTTATACGTATACTTCGAAGTACTACGTAGTATATGATAATTTGTACGGAAATCCTTGCCCCATGTTGATCAGTGATTGGACAGACACATGATTTCAGTGGTTAGCGACTGGTGATGGTGTTTCTTGTCCTAGCATTTGTACTAACAGTTACTCGGTATTAGTACCGTATTACTTACTACCAGTACTACTTTAAGACATTCCTCTGCGAGGGCCGACACTAGAACCACATGTTATGGAACCTGTGCTGTCGTGATTACTCGTAAAATAAGAGCTGAACAACAATTAGTGGAATTCTCATTGGTTCATTGGTCAATAACATGACCTACCCCATGACTAGTACACCTCTGAACTAAAGTGTAGGTACAAACATTCATACAATTTGTATCTAATTATTGCAAAATCCACATTCCGTAGTTGATTTGTAAAGTGGGAACTTCTGCGACATGTCAATTGATAGATTCAACAAATTACCTCTTTTTTGGGAAGTATTTAAAATAAATGGAAAATATAGTATTACAAACGTAATGTAATTTAGAAGTCAAATTAGATACATAGCCTCAATTCCGCTAAATATATGGCATTCTGTTTAGCAGTGAAACACTTCTGACAGAGATGTTTAATGCATACAAACTTCATGTTATATAAATGGAATTCTACTGAAACGTTCAAGTTCGTCCCAATTCAAATGTTTCAAAACCTTTCACAGGTCATTTCGTCAGCTAGTTACCGAGTAATTCCCTGATAGAAACGGTAGTGTTACTCTTACAAATAAACCAGTACTTTGTGTTTACATACGAAGACAATGGGTGACTGCCAAATATCTCGCAATTGCCTCTCGCAAACAAATTTGCGAGTCCGGATAACATGATTTTTTTTTCGTGCAACGACTTGGATTTCAAAATGAAAGCGATGCATGTCACCAAAAATATTACACACTTCCACCACTATTCGTTGGTTCTCTGCCATTCATGCTTTCGACAGTCTTAGCAGCTACCGTCTTTGCCCGCGCTCGTCGTCGCCAACGAAGAATGGCCATGATACGCATACGCGGCGCACTGCGCGAGCGAAATGCCATTGAGTCTGTGGCACTCCAACTTGACCAGACAGACACTGCATGGTATACCATGTATCGTTCTCGTCACATTCCGTCCTTTCTCACCACAGTGTCATTAACTCCCGATGCATTTGACGACCTGCTGCATGTGTTTGCCACGGAGTATACGGTCCTCTCCGGTCCCGGCCGTCGCGGGCGACCGCCACGTATCCCGCACAAGCACGCGGTTTTGGCCATGGTGCTTCACTACTACACTGCTGCGGTGGAACACAAGACCCTTCAAGAGCTCTTTGGCGTCCCACCATCTACGTTTGCCCGTGTGCTTGCCAAAGCAGAAGAGGCTCTTGAACGATCGCTCAGTCGAATACCACAGGCCTCGGTGCAATGGCCATCGATACCTGTTCAACAAGAATGGTCCAGGCTGACGAACGAGCGTGAACCGCTTGTTGAAGGGGTGTTTGCTTTCGTTGACGGAAAGAACTACCGCGTGCAGGCACCCAGCAGCGCTGACCTACAGAATGCGCACTATAACGGTGGGTCTGTGATGCGAACTGCATGCTCCTCATGCCTGATTAGGTTGGCTGCACTCTGTTTTTGTGACTGGCTGCTTGTGCTTTGGTGTCGATGGGACAATCATATGGGCCAGGCACAACTGCCCTGGCTCGTGGAACGATGGGGAAGTCAGCCGTCAACTCCAAGCACGCTTGGCCGATGAACGGTTCGTTGGCCCGGGGATGAAGGTTGCCTCGGACTCTTTGCGTTCCCGGTTAGTGGGTCCTGCGCTGGAAGGATTATCACGCCACTGAAGGAGGGCGACCTGGACCGGCAACCGGCGGCATGTCGTTTGGCACTCCAAACGATGAGTGATTGTATCACTTCACTGCGTCAAGCTGCAGAGTGGGGAATGGGGGCAACTGGAAAAGTTTATCGGCAGTTAATGCTTCCCTTGCCGTTCAATCCAGTGCTTAGGGGGCGCCGCCTATCGAACATGTTTCGACTGTATAACTACCGTGTCCGCCGTACAGGACTTAGCCAAATTAAGAATGTATTCGGGTCGTAATAGTTTACAAATATGCATAGTTGTATCTTACTCTTCTGACTTGTATACTTCATATTTGTATGCTCAATGTCTCCATGAGCAAAAAACCAAATCAAATTTTGAACCAAGTTTCATCATGAATTCCATTATCCCCGCCGTTTCTGCAATGTGCGATAATTTGTCCAACTTTAGGTCCCATTATACAGATATCCTGAACACGTTTTGACGATTAGACACGCTCTAAGTCAAAATATTTGAATAATTTGTGCGAAATGCCTGCAAATATATGCAATTCCACTCGTTCTATGTGAAATTATTGGTTATGTCCTAGCATCTTACTCATGAGAAGAAGATGCATTTCTTCGCGGCGCGCCTCCCGCACTTCTCGTTCGCGATCGTACTTCTCTTGACGCTCAATACGGCTCTCTTCACGCTTCGCCGCCCGCTCGTCCATCAGTAGAAACAATGTCATCATATCGGATGACGCTTTGGCATCAGCATCGGCAGCGCCGTCGATAAACTTGTCGATGGAACGACGCTTTTTCGCCGTGTAGGACAGCAACCCCCCAGCCACATCGGAGGGATCCCGACCCCGCTTCAACTTGTCGCTCAGCAGCTGCAACTCCGAGCAGGGCAATCCAGTACGACCAACATCTTCGTCGTCCTCGTGGCAAGTGGGC